CGTACCTTGTAAAGAATGACGTCTGGAGGTTTGAGGTATATACCGTGACTTGTAGGGAATGACGTCTGGGGGTGTAAGGTATATACCGTTCCTTGTAGGGAATGGCGTCTGGAGGTTTGAGGTATATACCGTACCTTGGAGGGAATGACGTTTGGAGGTTTGAGGTATATACCGTGCCTTGTAGGGAATGACGTCTGGAGGTTTGAGGTATATACCGTGACTTGTAGGGAATGACGTCTGGAGGTGTAAGGTATATACCGGTCCTTGTAGGGAATGACGTCTGGAGGTTTGAGGTATATACCGTACCTTCTAGGGAATGATGTCTGGAGGTTTGAGGTATATACCATACCTTGTAGGGAATGACGTCTGGAGGTTTGGGGTATATGCAGTACCTTGTAGGGAATGACGTCTGGAGGTGTGAGGTATATACCGTACCTTCTAGGGAATGATGTCTGGAGGGTTGAGGTATATACCATACCTTGTGGACAATGACGTCAGGAGGTTTGAGGTATATACCGTACCTTGTAAAGAATGACGTCTGGAGGTTTGAGGTATATACCATTCCTTGTGGACAATGACGTCTGGAGGTTTGAGGTATATACCGTACCTTGAAGGGAATGACGTCTGGATGTTTGAGGTATATACCATACCTTTTAGGGAATGACGTCTGGAGGTTTGAGGTATATACCATACCTTGTGGACAATGACGTCTGGAGGTTTGAGGTATATACCGTACCTTGTAGGGAATGACGTCTGGATGTTTGAGGTATATACCATACCTTTTAGAGAATGACGTCTGGAGGTTTGAGGTATATACCGTACCTTGTGGAGAATGACGTCTGGAGGTTTGAGGTATATACCATACCTTGTAGGGAATGACGGCTGGAGGTTTGAGGTATATACCGTACCTTGTAGGGAATGACGTCTGGAGGTGTGAGGTATAAGGTTTGAGGTATATACCGTACCTTGTAGGGAATGACGTCTGGAGGTGTGAGGTATATACCGTACCTTGAAGGGAATGACGTCTGGAGGTTTGAGGTATATACCGTACCTTTTAGGGAATGACGTCTGGAGGTTTGGGGGATATACCGTACCTTGTAGGGAATGACGTCTGGAGGTTTGAGGTATATAACGTGACTTGTAGGGAAGGACGTCTGGAGGTTTGAGGTATATACCGTACCATGTAGGGAATGACGTCTGGAAGTTTGAGGGATATACCGTACCTTGTAGGGAATGACGTCTGGAGGTGTGAGGTATATACCGTACCATGTAGGGAATGACGTCTGGAAGTTTGGGGTATATACCGTACCTTGTAGAGACGTTCGACTAATACCATACCTTGTAGGGAATGACGTCTGGAGGGTTGAGGTATATACCGTACCATGTAGGGAATGACGTCTGGAAGTTTGAGGTATATACCGTACCTTGTAGGGAATGACGTCAATAGGTTTGGGGTATATACCGTACCTTGTAGGGAATGACGTCCATAGGTTTTGGGTATATACCGTACCTTGTAGGAATGACGTCTGGAGGTTTGAGGTATATACCGTACCTTGTAGGGAATGAAGTCTGGAGGTTTGGGGTATATAACGAACCTTGTAGGGAATGACGCCTGGAGGTTTGAGGTATATACCGTACCTTGTAGGGAATGACGTCTGGAGGTTTGAGGTATATACCGTACCATGTAGGGAATGACGTCTGGAGGTTTAAGGTATATACCGTATCTTGTAGGTAATGACGTCTGTAGGTTTGAGGTATATACCGTACCTTGTAGGGAATGACGTCTGGAGGTTTGAGGTATATACCATCCCTTGTAGGGAATGACGTCTGGAGGTTTGAGGGATATACCGTACCATGTAGGGAATGACGTCTGGAAGTTTGAGGTATATACCGTACCTTGTAGGGAATGACGTCTGAAGGTTTGGGGTATATACCGTACCTTGTAGGGAATGACGTCCATAGGTTTGGGGTATATACCGTACCTTGTAGGGAATGACGTCTGAAGGTTTGGGGTATATACCGTCCCTTGTAGGGAATGACGTCTGAAGGTTTGGGGTATATACCGTCCCTTGTAGGGAATGACGTCTGGAGGTGTAAGGTATATACCGTTCCTTGTAGGAAAAGACGTCCATAGGTTTGGGGTATATACCGTACCATGTAGGGAATGACGTCTGGAAGTTTGAGGGATATACCGTACCTTGTAGGGAATGACGTCTGAAGGTTTGAGGTATATACCGTACCTTGTAGGGAATGATGTCTGGAGGTTTGAGGTATATATCTACCTTGTAGGGAATGACGTCTGGAGGTTTGAGGTATATACCTACCTTGTAGGGAATGACGTCTGGAGGTTTAAGGTATATACTGTACCTTGTAGGGAATGACGTCTGGAGGTTTGAGGTATATACCGTTCCTTGTAGGGAATGACGTCTGGAGGTTTACGTCTGGAGGTTTGAGGTATATACCTACCTTGTAGGGAATGACGTCTGGAAGTTTGAGATATATACCTACCTTGTAGGGAATGACGTCTGGAGGTTTGAGGTATATACCGTGACTTGTAGGGAATGACGTCTGGAGGCTTGAGGTATATACCTACCTTGTAGGGAAAGATGTCTCGAAGTTTGAGATATATACCTACCTCGTAGGGAATGACGTCTGGAGGTTTGGGGTATATACCGTACCTTGTAGAGACGTTCGACTACAGGCAGAAAAACCTACCGAAATATTGGGACTTTTAGAGTTATATTTTTTCGCCCCTTGGAAATCATCTGTTGTTACTTACTGATTAAATGTGACTGTGTACAAAACACGATACTGTTGTTTGATAAACCATTCCAAAATATCGATTGATAATAAGTGCACGATTTCTTTACACGTTAAACATGCAATAATAACATTCTCAAGGCATGAATTCATTGGAGTCAATATTATGAAAGTTTACAATTCAACAATGGTCACATCGCTACAAAGTCTATGATATAAATCTGTTTACAAAATATGAAAGGATAAAACATACTTTTGAAGTTTAAATTGGGTCAATTCACATAAACCAAGGAAGCACGAAAACATCATCATTACTTTAAACGTTCGAGCACGCCAAACAAACATTTCAAATTTGGTGTGATTTTTGTATACTCATATTGTATGAATGCCTACATTCTTTATTTCTAATATTTTTCAAATATTGGTGAAATCCAATCCAAGTCTTTATATTATTACTGCATGTAGAACTGCATAATGCTCTCATTAAATATTTAAAACATCGGATCAGTCAGATTTGACGTTGTACCTAGTTAGAAGGACGTGACACTTTATGTTAAAAACAACAATTGCTCTGTAGAAAATATTGTTATTTACTTGTTTTTTTCGGGATATATGTTTTAGCCTCAATTCGCATAAGGGATTGAACGCAAGTTTATATATCACGTGAACAACCGTTTGTACAAACATACATGCTGTGTGTAACGCCAATGGACATCCTCGCAAGTAGGTCACGTGTGTCCGAAAGTTAATTATATACATGCACATGTATATATGATTATGTCTGAGAACGTGCTTAACAAATCAAATCGCTTACAATAACTAAAATAATTAAGGTATCGTGGGTCATATAACTGCATGTCCATGTCGAGTAAAACAGGGCAAATATTCCAGAATAACAAAAACAGAAGCTAAATTAATTAAAAAACAAAAACCAATAGGAATATATGGCAACCCAGACAAAAGGAACGAAATCATTATAACTACTTGAGGTGAAATCAGGGACTTTATATTAGGCGTACTGTCTTTCCTAAATTCCTAACTACTAGCTAATTGCGATATGTAAACATTTTGTAGGATACTAGTGTTAATCATCAGGACATATATTTAGCACTGGATGGATATTTACATATAACACTACCAAGGCCAGTTCTGTGTTATGAGACCATAACACAGGCGTAGTGATATCTCCACGGGACCGACTAACTACTGGATAGCTATTCCCCTCTGCAGTAGGTAGCGGATAAGCAATAACCCTCACTATGATTTTATAATATTCCACGTTTAATGTAAGACTAATATATAATGTGAATTGAATTTATTGATTGATTAAATTATGGAAATAGTATCATAAATTTTGTGGTTATTTCCATTAACTATATTTTTACGGGGAAAAGTCACGAGACAAAGTGTCGGAGCAATTCCATGGACTGTTCTACCTCAATAGACAAACACCGCGAAATTCGAATTTAAAAGTGCGTTGTGAACTTAGAAATGATAACAAACAAAAAATGAAAAATATGGTACAGAATGATGTTTAATGCTTAAATACACCAGGCATTGTACTGAAATGACTGCAATGAAAAGTCCTTATGGGGAAATACAACGATCGTGTCAGTACATACATAGTCAGTTATGTCGTGTGACACAATCAAGAAAACCGTAAGTATACGTGGTGTTTGTTGTGTAAACATGTATACTTAGTGTCCATAGGTTTTACCGATCACTGTATCCTATTTCCTGGAGCCAAGTGTTTGGGTCGCTAACATATACATCTGAATGGTTGAGAATGGCGTGGAGAAGTTCCAAGCGTTGCTTACACCCATGTTTCTTCTCCTGTTCCTCCGTGTTAATCATAAGCTCGATGAAATCCTTTTCGCTCTGTTGAATCTTTTGTAAGCTGTTGCTGGTTTCAACTGTCTTTGAGATCAGGGAGATCACTACCTCCATCAGAGACACAAATGCTCGTTTGATGGCCTGTAGCATTGCGTCGGTTGACACATTTTCTTCCAAATCAAATTCATATTTTGCTTTGATGTCAGCGTTCGTTCTTGTTACTGTTTCAAACTGTTCTTTTATCCTAAATTTATCGTTCCTGTGCAAGTACCACACGCATTTCTGATGGCATTTTGTACAATTGCCTTTTTTCATAGCGGCACAGTTCTTTTTACCATCGTTGTCCAGAATTGTGCAGCGATAATGACATGTAGTATGGCACACGATACAGTTGGTAACATGCGTTCCAGGTTCAAGCGGGATTTTCTCTTGACGATACACCTCCTCATCGTACGTAAACGGGTTGTTGTGTTCTATGTCGATAGCAAACCTCTTCACAGTATCTCTGTCGGACTGCACGTTCGCGAGATTCATGAGTTGTACGTTAATCTCCAAACGATTTTCCTGCAGATGTGTCATTTTCTCTTGTTGCCTTTTTTTTATTGGGCTGTGTTGTTGTCATCGGAGTGGTCTTTAACGCTGGGCAGGGTTTCATGTTTGAAAGATGGTTTAAAAATCCTTCAAATCCTCTGGAGCTTAATTTCCACGAAGTCTTTCCAAGCAGAGCGTCTTCAGTGTACGGTGGGAAGAGCGTCGAACTGTTAAAGACAAAGAAACGCTGTGTCGGGACCCCAACAGTTGAGAGGATTTTAAGCACGGATGGCTCTTTCCCGTCGGCAAACGTCAGCATAGGAATTATGTTCCCATGCATGTTGTCTCCAAATATGGACACAATGCCATCCAATATGTCGCTAAAGGCCTTGTCGATACCGCTAAATGTGACAGGGTTGGCCTGACTGACGAAGCAAACAGCATCTATTCCATTCATACCCTTGGGACCTCTGGTGGACAGGAAGAATTTGAGACGTTGAAGGAGATTCTGGTTTCTTTCATACGATTCTGGTCCTTCGTGGAAGCTTGGGGTGTCTATGATATTCAAAATGAAGTCAGTGTCTGTCGTGACCGGATGTACTTTGTAGCTTGTGATCCATTCAGTAGGTGATTCCTAGTAAAGGAGAATATTACTGGAAATATATAATCACATGTCATCATGTGACATAAACAGTACACCAAACGACTATAGGATGTGATATTTTAAGTTGACCATAATATCATTACGTATGGTATACAGCACTAATTAACATTGTAATCAGAAATCACCTCACAAACATGATATAAATACCTGTCTGGAAGATGTAATTTCTGGTTCATCTGTAATTTTCAATCGGTATTCGTGTTCCCATTTCACACCAAGACTGTGGTTGACAAGTCCGTTGATTAGAGTGGTTTTCCCTCCTGTTCTTGGGCCGACCATCAGTACAGTTTTCTCTCGAAGACAAGTCGAGTTTCCTATAAAAGAACAATCGAGCAATATAGATAAGCAGTTACAACAATAATAGAAATAATCAGTTACATCAAAAATATAAGTAATCAGTTACATCAAAAATAGAAATAATCAGTTACATCAATAATAGAAATAATCAGTTACATCAAAAATAGAAATAATCAGTTACATCACAGGTACTAGCCTCGTCTGTCAGACGCTGATTGGCTTCTAAATTTAACGGACCAATCAGCACCGAGGTAACAAAAAATAGAGAAAATGGCAGGCTCTGTTCAGATTTCCGATCGTCAGCCTGACCAGCCTGAAAACTGGACTCGGGTGTCCGCCATGATAATAAAAGGGTATGAACTATACTACAAGTAAGTTTGTTTCCAATCGTAGAAACGCTGTACTGGCATTGAATAGGGTACATGCCGTGTGTTAGACGCTACTCACTAGGAATTTAGCGTGTAATCCCGTGGACAGTCTACCGAAAATTCGACTACATGATATATGGAAAATCATGCATCAAATTAAAAAAAAATCCTGACAATCTAGACTGCTCCCGGTGTCATATTATAAACAGTTTTGACAAACTCGCATGTTTTCTGGGACGGGGTCATTTTACTGGGGGGACGGAGTGATCATCCTTGATTATATTATAGGTGTATTGACAGACGGGGCTAGTACCTGTGGTTACATCAAAAGTAGAAATGATATGTTACATCAAAAATAGATCATCAGTTACATCAACAATATATATAACCTGTTACTCAACGTTGCTATTATATACAAATGGAAGATAAAAACACTACACAGTAAAATAAAATCTTAAAAAAGTCAGGATTAGATTAGATGTACCAGGTACTCTGTAGCTTACTATTTGTAAAACAGCCCTACACTTTGTATTGCTATATCCTTTAGGAATCTTCAAAACTGCAAATCTTCTGAAGCAGTAATGCAAACCTGAATAGTATCTTTAATGCTGCAAAATCATGGTAATTAAAGTATTTTGTTAACAACATTTCAATATCTACTTAAGCGAATAGAAAATAAGACAAATTCCTCTTTACCACGTCAATGACGCTTAAATGTAGGCCCGATATAACAATTTGTCTGAACTAGCACCGATGTACGGACGGAGGGAACTCGTCAGTTTTGTTGAGCGCGGGATAACAATATGGAATGTTTTTGATTCAAACTTACCGTATCTACATTTTCTTGTCTTTTGATCATCGTCTTTTGATGACTGTATCTCAACTAAAGGAAGTCTGTAAACGCTTGGTGGCCCATCAATTATCTTCTTGCAGTACTTTAGGATCCCACACACCTTTGAGCAACCTGTTGTTATTTCCGCACTCTTGCAGCTAAAATCGCTGTCACAACCATCTGAGTAAACTGCTCGCACCATGAATTCATATCTAGTGTTCTGTAGGAGTTCGTTGAAGCGATGGAATGGTTGTTGTCTGTCTTTGGTAGAAACAATTGTCGATGACCAAATATGATCACCAGCGACTTTTATTCGGATCTCATAATGGGAAACCTCGTCTTTTTCGATCTTGTCCCATTCCAGGCATATATAATCAGTACCTATATCTGTTGACCGTGGCTGACCGGGTCTAACTGGACGTTTAAGGGATGACAGGAGGGTGATGATATAGCCCTATAAAATAGCAAAGCAGTAGAAACAATGTTGATTTATATCAAGTTCTATATTAGCTTCAGGTCTTCCGGCTTAGCTGTATAGACAAGTATTTACAATGGATGTACAAATGACGCAGAATAGCAAAGTTTAAACAACTTCGTAGAAGAATATCAACATTTGAAACATCAAATTCATAATTATTTAGAACTATTTTCCGATTTGACTTTAATACACTAAAATTATAATTTTACCATCCGTACCAGAATTATAACTATTTCCTTTCAAAACAATGAGCCTCGCACACCCTAAACAATAAAACGATATTCAGAATCTAAAGTCTCCCGCTAAACATTCGGATTAGCACAAGCATCTAGTAAAACAAAATAGACTAACAGCATAAGTTGTAATGTCCGGACAAACGGAGTTGACTTATATCAGTAACGAAGGATATGAACAAAAGTATTTGTCTTTCATCAGTAACGAATTAAGGATCTGGACAAACGGATTTGACTTATTCCAGTTACGAAGGATCGATTTGGACAATTAGAGTTGACTCATATCATGATCAGCAACGAAGGATCTGGACAAACTGAGTTGACTTACATCAATAACAAAAGGATCCGGAAAAACGGAGTTGACTTATTTCAGTAACGAAGGATCGATCAGGGCAATGGGAGTTGACTTTTATCAGTAACGAAATTATCCGGACAAACGGAGTTGACTTATTACAGTCACGAAGGATCTGGACAAACTGAGTTGACTGATATCAGTAAAGAGCGATATGGACAAACTGAGTTGACTTACATCAGTAACGATGGATTCGGAAAAGCGGAGTTGACTTATATCAGCAATGGAAGTTTTGAAAAAAGGATTTAACTTATATCATTAATATTCATATTAATAATTAAATTAAAGTAAAACAATGCAAGTTATCAACGATTTCGAAAAATCCGGTTTTTACCCTTAAAAAATTGTACACTTTCTGCAGGCAAATGTTGATGAACTGTAGCTTATCTGCAAACTGGATACCCAGCTGGAAACCGTAAATCTTGAAACCATGAACATGGTCCATAGTAAGTGACTGGCTCGTTTAGCTACGTCTCGAGTCCTGGAAAAGAAAGATGCTCGATTGTTCAAACTGATAAGCCTACATTTATATATGAATAGAACAGTGACGTTTAAAAGAAGAGGAATCTATGTGTGCATAGATAGTGAAGTTTATGAGAGAAATCTATGTATGTTTAGACAAGGACGTTTCAGAGGAGAGGAATATATGTGTGCATACACAGGAAAGTTTCATTTGAGAGGAATCTATGTGTGCATAGACAGGGACGTTTCAGAGGAGAGGATATATATTTGTAAATAGACAGGGACGTTTCAGAGGAGAGGATTTCTATTTGTAAATAGTCAGGGATGTTTCAGAGAGTTTCTATTTGTAAACAGACAGGGACGTTTCAGAGGAGACGATGTCTATTTGTAAATAGACAGGGAAGTTTAAGAGGCTTTATATGTGGGTATAGACAGGGACTTTTCAGAGGGAATAAATCTATGTTTGTTTAGACAGGGAAATAAAGATGAGATACTTTCTATCTGTGTAAAGACGAAAGTTTAAGAGAAGATAATTTCTATGTGTGTATAGACGAAAGTTTAAGAGGAGGGGAACCTATGTGCGTATAGACAGGCAAGTTTCAGAGGAGATGCTTTCCTCAGTAACGACACATATCTAAAGCCCAGAGACTATAGCCATGTATCTGAAATTTTGTCGAAGGTTAGTTTGTAATCGCATTTGTGGTCTAGATATGTATTTGTGATATTATATTGTGATGCCTGATTGAAGGTTTGGTACAATTGTTGTTTAATTTTCTAAAAGTTACTTTTTGTTAATTGATACTCTGGTAATTATATTTAGTAACGCCTATTCACAGTATGTGGGGTGATACTATATTATATAGAATATAGATCTACAATGTGGCAAGTATACCAAGCTTGTAACGAAATAATACCGCTCCGCACAGGGCAACTTATACATCTGCTCCCATATAAACCAGAACTGTAAGCTTAAGGTTAACTAAGGCAAAGCACGACATCGGGGGGTAAACTTGTAGTACTTTTTCATTCCGACCCTTTTAAAAGAAGTAATGCCCTGTTGTTGGATGTACAACATCAGGGGGCAGTTACCATATATAAAAAAAGAATACCTGGATACTTCAGGTGGTATTTATCATATCTGGAAACTTTCATTGAAATTCATCCATAACTTAAGAAGTTGTCCGGACAAAAAGTTTCAGAATTTGTTCAACAAAGGGCCATAAGTTCGTAAAAATAAGGTCAGAATGAAAAAAGAATACCTGGATGCACAACCTCAGGTGGTAGTTATCATATCTTGAAAAATTCGTTGAAATTGGTTCACAACTTTAGAAGGAGTTGTTTTCTACGGACAGACAGACAGATATGCATTCCGGTAAATCTATACCTTTCCATATTCAATATTATGTCAAGTTTACAGGAGAGCATTTCTTGTTGTCTCCAATAATATCAACAAAATATAAAGTTAATCCCTATATTTACAGTATTTTCCCTCATCCTTAAACGTTTTATTTCATTTCACTTGAATGCTTAAAGAATAACATAAATTCGACACTTTATTTCGCTGACTGGAAAAGCTACATTCTTGTAACTCCCTATACTTTCACTCCCGATACCTTAGCAACAGAAGAAACGGCCATTATCAATATTTCACATTCTTGCATAGTTTGCAATTTAAAATGTGTTTTTTTTTCTGGAAAATTTGTGGTCCAAACAAAACGATTTTATTCGCACATTATGCTTTAAAATAGCAATTTGTTATCGAAATTTGTTCAACAGAATGAGTGTATCGCTTTTATTGTCATGTGTCGTGTTTGACTTCGCTACAGAAGGAAGTGTGGAGCGAATAGCCTGGTGTTAGGAGATGAATAGTCTCTGTAAAACAACCTTACCAATGATTCGTTTCTGTGTCCACTTACAACTACATGAATTGGCGAGTTTCGTAGTTTCGTAGTTTCGTAGACTTAGCTTTGAATAGATGTAGCACGTAAACAACACAATGTATAATGCGTCGCACATTTACTACAAAGACAAATAATCAATCGTTCTTGGTTTTTATACACGCGTGTTGCATTTGTTTAAAAACCACAAACTTAGATCTACCGTACTGCACATTTCGTCAGTGCAACCATTCAGTGTTTTCGGCCGAGTTAATTACAATTGAAATTAAACATTTGCATAATTCGAATCGCATTTTGTTCGCACTTCGATATGCAGTTGCTGTTTTTACAGTTAATCTATTACAGAAAGCTGTTTAATTATAACTTTGTGAACACGATTTAAAGGGCGTCATAACAAAAGTTTTGTCAGCTTTCCTCTGCATTAACCAATACGGTACGAAACACTATCAGCTTTATACATTTATATACAAAGGTCTGTTCGGAATATGTTATCTATACAAACAAACATAAAACTTAGTTACATCTTGGATGTACTCACGGGTACGGATTTCACAGCCTTTTCACTTTCGTTTTCCCTGGACGTAATTCATTGTGACGACATTTTGTGCCAATGTTAGGCTCGTAAACACCTTTTAGACAAAACTTTAAAGGATAATTATTTAATATAGGTGAACTCTCAGACAGATTACATCAGATTACATCATTAATAAGATTCGTTTGTGGACAATGTATTGCTCAAATGTACTTTTTGTTCCCTTACAGTATTATTTAATGCAAAAATCAGATAAAAAGGATCAATTTTGTCGTAATTGTTTTGTGACGTTTTGATATAATATAACAATATATACATGTACATAAACGATAAAGAGTTCGTAAATAAGGTTACGGTTCGTAGATTTTCTATACCACAGCATATGCACATTAGCATTCAACCTGGTGTATGCTTAATTAGTCAGACGAAGATAAATCAATATCAATTGTCGGTCTTTGGCAGTCATCGAATCGTGCTACATGCATCGAACTCAAAGAAAAAATGTACAACGAAACAGTTGTGTTACACAGATTGCTGTATAAGATAAGAGGCATAGGTATATCCGGGTTAAGTGGAATCAACCATTGTTTGTTTTTGAGAATGCACAGTAATCGTGTTTATCTATTTCTTTCTTTTTTAACGATACATTTGATAGTATTTCGGTATTTTCTTACAGCTAATTCATCCAAGCAATAACTTTTAGACACATGCACTGATCAATAGGCGAGACATGACGTGCGATATCGGACCTGTGGATATGTATGGAAGCGCAATGAGTGGGGTGGTAGCCATTTGAAGCGAACAGCCTTTTCACGTAAAAATGAATAAATTTACAACATTTGATAAAGAACCCATTTAACTAAAATAAGGCACTCTAACGCACCTTACATATATCTCCAACTCATACAATCTATACAACGGTTTTTAGGAATTCGCAGGAGCTGTCTTATCAGGCGCTGACTACTAGTCCTATGCCACCTGTCTAATATCTCCTATTTGTGTATGCTTGAGTGTGTACTGGAGGGTTGTTTTGTAAGGGACCATGCTGTTCAATTATGTCTCCTCACTAGAATGCTAAAGCACTGCAACACCAAATGGATGCCATTTCATTGGGTGACGACTCAGCTTATTACATCAGCATAAATGTATAGGAAAATTGAGGCTAAGACAGTTTTGCACTGTTACAGGAAAAACACCGGAAGCTTTTGTGTTCATTCAGGGATATTGGTCAAGGTCTTTTTCCACCTCTTCGCAATATTGGTCACTGGTGTATTTCGAGAAGGAATATGCTCTTAATTACGCCTGTGTGGCTTAGAATATACCCTACTTACAATACCTTAGCTGTTATGTTGGAATACATGATGTCACTGTAAACAATAATGCTTATCGAGGGTTTTTTAATGTTAAATGAACATAACTTTGATTATGTCACTTGGCAATCACTACGAGAATAGCGCTAACGTACATGTAGGGTAAAATGGCGTCGAATACCAGAAACCTAGGGCTGTATAGATGGTACGTCACATGAAATATATTTCCCCGATAATTATGGAGTGTTTGTAATATCCTTCTCCAATCATAACACCATTCATCTCCACACAAATTGATTGGAAGCCAATCAGTTGTCAAACCGCCTTTATTTGTTTAACAGAACAACGCGAAGATATAGAGTGTTTGTAGTGAGCAGGATATACCAATTAAAGAATTTCGGGTTATTTTGGTACTTTGTGTCAGGAGAGAGAATGAATCAGATTATTGTTAGGTGTGCTTGTCTTGACCAGAGAATGACTGGAATATTTTTTATCAATTTTAAACGGATTCTGTTGCGTCAGTTTGACGGCTATGTTTATCCATAGTCGTACATACACAGGTATACGTATGTAGTGATTATACGCTCATGCTATAGATAAAGCGGGTAGGCCGGTCGAGAGAAGACTTATTAAAGTAAAAACAAAATATCGAATATCTCCCCTTCACATATGTATGCGTAAACGTATATAAATCCTTTTGTAATACTTCAAGTCTGTATACGTTATTTAAAGGGGCATCACGGTGACGTGTAGATTTTTTTGTCTTTTATTTCAAATACTACATAAACATATCAAGTGAGTCTCCTTATGGAAAATAACGATCGGATTTGGCTGATATAGATTCATAAAAATGAATGATTTTAAGAAAATTATCGGGATTTCTACCTGTCTGACCAACGTTTTATCAAGGATTTCCAGAGCTACTATAACGCATGCGCCTAGGTAATTTCATTATGAATAGTTCAGTCGTCAGGCAGCTGCAAGGCAGAACGTTTATGGTGCAAACTTTCTGCCTCACACTGTTTACTGTGGCAGTAAAGAAAATTAAAACCAGAAATACCATCAGGTTTGGGTGATAGCTAAGGTTTATTACTGTATTATTATCATTACGTAATATTGCATGAATTATGATTATGTATCATTACATAAAATTGTATAATAGGATTACGTAACATATTTTTTATTACTACTAATACCGTGAGAGAAAAAAACACATGTAATAACACATTACTGACATAAAACAAACTAGCTACAATTGTATGCCATTAGTGTTAGGTTGGGCTGGAGTGGTAGAAATTTAAAATCCTGCCGACTTTCAAAACAGCAAATGACATGATCTGTACTGCACGACAGAAAATTTGAAAATGAAGCGTTTCTCTGAAATTTCTATATACATATCTGAATTCAGGCTCAATTCAAAATTGGCTAATAGACAACAAACTTTCCATTCATCTGGGTAAAACTGAAAGTATAAATAAAGTATGATTTTTGGATCCAAAAAAACCTCAAAACCTTACCAGGTGAAAGTTTCAAAGTAAATTGCAATGGACTTAAAATTGAGTCCAAATCCTCAGTAAAATATCTTGGTGTTCAGCACTGATGCAATGCCATTTTGATAATGCCTGCTCGTCCTGGCACAGCGGCCTTACCAAAACATTTCAACAGAAACTACAAATTATGCAGAACAAAGTTGTAATATTTATACTCCGGCTGGACCATTGGAAACGAATTTCATTTGAGGAACTTGTCTCGTTAAACATGCTAAATGTAAATCATAGAGTTAAGCAGCTTCGTCTCAATCATGGTTTTAATATTTATCATCAGTGCTGTCAAAAGTATATGAATAAATGTTTTATTAGAAATAACAATACTCGTTTTACAAGATCTTGCGAACACAATTTTTTAGTACAATCTATTAGGGGAGCTGAGTCCTCCACTTTTTTCTATAAAGGAATCAGAGACTGGAATTCTATACCCAGGTCAATCAAATGTCTACACAAAAAAAACCCATCAATTTAAACTTCAGGTTAAACATCACTTCATGGAAATAGCTAAAAGGGAACATCAAAATGAATTTGTCGTTTTATTATATTGAATTTCCCTGTACCACTTTGAGTTCCTTTAATAATTGTAGTATTCATTATAAGAATCATCCCATCAGCTTGACCGGTTGCTAATATTTTTCCAAAGCAACCATTTGGAAATAAGTTTTTTCAAAACCTTCATGGGCCATCCTAGGTAAAAGATAACCAGTTGAAGATTATTATTCACTGTCTGTACCTCCAAAATTGTATGTGATATTCATACAAACTGTGATAATACTACTACCTAGTGCTGAATATATGCTTTTTACTTGAAATAATATAATGTTTAGTCATATGCTTTTTGTGATATCTGAAGGTTAGTCTTTCATCAAAAACCATTCTGTGATCTCATTGCTTGTGTAATGTAATTTCCATTAATTCAGTTTGCCATCTATGTTGATACAGTGCTATATGTCAAGCGTGTAGACCGGTCGCGAGGTGTTTGTTTCATTATGTGTCGATATTTTGCTGCAATTTTACGCTGCTCGTTAGCACGTTATTAGACGAAACTTTAAAGGCTAATTCTTTAATACAGGTGTTCTCTCAGACAGAAAACATTTCTAATAAGATAGTTGTGGACAATTTATTGCTCCAATATATGTCCTTGAGTTAATTTTGTCGTAATGGTTTTATTTGTTTCCCTTATACCGTTGCTATTGTCAAATTTACATCTTGAAGGCGAAAACATGTTGACATAAACAACTTATAAAAGTACAACATGTACTTTATCTCCGAATCATACCCATTTACATAACTACATAACTTCATATATGTTTCAACACATACTATAACACAACGCATGTAAAATAAGTTTAACTTACCGTTCAGCTTGAATCGTACGAATGGGTTGAACTGGCTTGTTGCGCGTCTTTAAACGTGTAGGTTCCGGGATGCCAAGAAATAAACCAGGTATTCCAGGTAATTGTACACTGCGTAAGTTATAAATAAACCAACCTATACATATGTATAAAGAACAAAAGGTTCTAAAACGTTGTTATAATTTAACTTACCTCGAGTTGAGATTTCCCTGTCCAAGAACCACACCCACGTAAGATTATATTAATCAACTATAGTGATTACTTCTGTCTACGTCCATACTACAATAACAATTTTCATTTTATCACAAAAAGAAAAGGCATCTAGTCCAGAACATTTGGAATTCCAGAATTTAGAGTAAAACGTTGCAATTTTCGAATGATTCAAGCTGGCAAATAAATCAACAGTAAATGGCCCCATCCCTAATTGAGAAAATTGATTGAGAAAATTGATTGAGAAAATTGACAATGAGCGGGGACAACCTAATCTTCGACATGGAACTCTTTGCTATATGTGTCCGCAATATTATTTAGATGCCTGGGTACCCATTATACATTTTTGGGACATCATGATGAGGTATATTTTTTAATGACTTTTTTTGAAATACTGCATGAATATATCAAGTGAGTCTCCTAATGGAAACTACGATCGGATTTTGCTGATACATATTCCTAAAAATTCCTAATTACTAATAGAAGAGGAGAGTGTGTGACACTTTTTTGTCAAATTCTGCTTTGCTTTCTGTTTTTTAGGCCTTGACACTTTTTGAGCTTTGCACACGTACTTAACATTCCTCTTTATAACACCATGTCAACACACACTGTTGTTAGTGGTATAGTTGTACATGCAAAACTTGACAAAGTGACGAGTCAAGTTGACACATTTCTGAAGGTCGGTGTCCGAAAAGAACATATACATATACCACTAATAATAGTGTGTGCTGACCATGTCACTGCGTCAAGTTTTGCATGTAAAACTATACCACTAACAAGAGTTTGTCCTGACATGTCACTTTGTCACTTTGTCAAGTTTTGCATGAACAACTATACCACTTCTATTGTTGTCATTACATGGCTTACGTCGGCCATTGTACAAACATACCCTCCCCACCCCACCTTCCCTTTGACCTTTTATTGTTTCCCCTTCTCCCATATCTTCTAGCTGTGGTTTGAGACTCATTTAGATGTAGTCAATCGTTGAATTTGGGAGGATTTTTATCTATGAAAATAAGCGTGGCTTTTTTGGCTTTTCACTATTTTCCGGAATGCGTTTATAGTGTGCATGTGATAGCATTAAGAATGTAAGTATATTATTTTAACGATCTATTCAAATTGTATACAGTGACATAATAAGGTTGTAACAAGAATTAATTAGTTTTGGTTCCTTATCCTGTCTGGTCAGACAGTTTGTTCTGTAGCTGTTCGCTTCACATCTTATAACGCATGCGCATAACACGCCATTTCATCGTAAACAACATGACATGCTGTGGAAAGTGTCAGTGAGTGAAAACCGTGTCCACGTCAGATTCGAAGCAAAAAGTTGCTTAATGGTCAAAAGACAGCGTAAGGATTACGATAAGGAAGCATTATTGTAGGTTGGAAGTATTCAAAGGAGAAAATATAACCACCTTAACAGTTAGTATAGTGCTTGTATTCTTTCGCATAGCCGGTACAAAGTTGAATAAAGCTGAAATGGAATCGGCAGAAATGCTGTTTACGTTATGAATAAGTATCTAAAACCATTTACCTCGCTAAGTGTTTGTCTAAGTTGGAACACATATGAACTTATTTTGTAAATGGGTATGATTCGGAGACAATGTTCATTTGCATGTCTATATATACAGTAGCTTATGCGACAGACAGGGATATATTTGACAGGTTAGTTTCCGATGGTCCCCTCCAAGGGATAATTATTGTGATGTTGTACAGTACGGCCACGTCGTGTAGCAAACTATGATGTTCTCTCCTCTGTCGGTACCCGGGATCACGTGATATACGTGCACTATAAGATTTACAATTATTTTTTGTAATGTTTTATAAGAGGGAGAACCTAAATCGGATCACATAACAAAACTACTTTTAAATCTTAATTGTGTCAACAGTTTACGTTTTGATCTTTACTTAGAATGTATGATAATGCAACAGTTTTTGTCTATAATGATTCAGTTACGACTAAAACAGCATCGGAATACGTATTAAAAACGGGGAGAAAGTCGTTTGTTTGCGTTATAAAAATGGCGCGTGCGGCTTGGTCTACGTTTTTTTTGTTTTCCACAGCAGAAAAAATGTAGACCATCATGCATGTTAATACTTCTATTCTTATTCAAATTCCAGAAATTAGGGATGAGACAATTACCGGGATGGGACCTGTACTGAATATGTTACCAAATAAATTGCACGTCCTGTGTCCTTAATAAAATAAGAAAAAATAGATCTTTCCCATGTCTTCAGTTGTGTTAAAGAAAGTGAATGTCCGATTTCAGGAGAATCGATAGTTGCAATAAAGAAAAGTCATCTCGACATAAAAAGGGTTCATTTACAAGTGTGCTTACATCTTTGTGTAACTATCTAACGCGGTCCATATCTGACACATATTCTGCATGTACATGTTTTGACTTTGCCAGAAATGTTTATTGTGTTTGATGACTAATATGACTAACTAAGTGGTAAAGCGTATGAAGACATTGAAAGTGGGAAAGAGATTATGCATGAACATATACAGATATACTGCATGGTATTGAATATAGTGGTCAAAGACAATGAGTTGTAATAAGAAATTTCACAAACAGTTCTCTTTGTTATAATTGCGAATGCAAACATGCACTTTATGAAAACATTTGAAAAGGGGTATTCGTCCCGTTAATATTTCTTTTTAAGAAAGGTTTGTCCCATGGTTGAGGGAAGGTGATTGGTCCCGTACCCATTTATACCGGACTCATTCCTGGTGTCTACAAATAATGCCGAAATGCCAACAAATATTTCCACATTTGAATATTATGTAACATGTGTGCAATTAACTTCTGATGATGAATACTTTCTGATAAAGAGATTCAATAAGTAGTTTCAACACGGCCTTGGTTTCATAGTGCGGTAAGAAGTTGTACGACGCCACTCTCTGGAGGCCCCTTTGGAAACTTGGCATCGCTGTCAGTACTGCCTCGTTTCAAAACTGCCAAGTGACGTTACCGGCGCTATTTGTAACAGGGCTTCCCCGAACAATTCGAGTGGTCAAACTGGACATTTGGAACGGACTGTGAATATGGGGATGGCGAGAAAACGTAACTGGCAGTGCAGACTACACGTACATTCAATAAATGGAATATTGGTTTTAACGGTATGTCCCTGTACAGAATACATTGATATAAACTAACTGAATGCACTGATTCCTGAAACAGTCAGCAAAATGGTCAATAGCCAAACAAACAACTTTAAGTTCCCTACAATGTAAAACTTCCGACTATGTTGTCGTTATCCCACATAAGGATAACCATTGTTGTGCGCATCTAATACAACGCCTGCTGCTGCAAATCGCTAACAGTAAAAATAATGTTAGGAGGGTGATACCAATGGCATATCACTGGAGGAGTTCACTTTTATGGAACCAGCATGCTATTTTCAAGCGACTTTCGCAGAAAAACAAACCGGACAATACCAATTGAGTTTATTCATAATAGACACGTGAAGATGTCATGTGAACATTTATTAACAAACTGGACCGAAAGCAAACTTCATGGATACTACGATACCAACGAAAGAAGCAACTTTCCTAGCAGTTAACTTTTGACATCTCTTCATCTTAGTAACTGTTTTCATAATTATCATTCCGTTTTCCAAATCCCATAATAGCCATTCCAACTTCTGAATTGGAGACCACAGTCACCATTTAAATTGTCACAGTCACTCTCTAGATTACAGAAATACTCAAAATTAGAATACTCAACTTTACTTGTGTTCACTGTTTGGCCCTGCAGGCCCTCTGACGGTTGGACCTAGCGCCTGTCTGTCCCGGAAGTATTGGTTACTGATGGTGTTGGGGCACTCTCTGACGAAGTTTCATAGGAGTGAGCGATCCGTGACATGAAGGTCCGTTTTGCGTTTGATACGCGGAAACTTCGAAGGGCGGACGGAGATGGCCTTGACGTGAAAGCAGGACTACGGAGAAATAGTCCCCTTGTAGGTCTTGACCATGGCGAAGAACGAAATCCCGATGTAGTGGATGTCTTTAAAGGTACCGTCTGACTGGGTCACGTCACCTCGCTGCACTGTTGATAGCAGTACGCAGCTGTCCGGCGCTCTGTACTACCAAGCGGACACAGCCTCCGCAACCTTATAATATTATCTCATTACCTAACACGTGTCCTAACCCTACCTAACACGTGTCCTAACCCTACCTAACACGTGTCCTAACCCTACTTTACACGTGTCCTAACCCTTATAGATAATTATTGTTAAGACAATTCAATCCTCCATGCTCATATGCATGCCCGTAGTCTGCATCGCATATGATTGCAAAGTAGTTGAATAAATGCTACGGGCTTAGCCCTCTGACACAACTCGTCCCCAAATTATTCAGACCTTTCCGAAGGTATGGAGCGCAAGTTCATTCCGTTATGTCGAGCCTTCAGTTCAGTAGCAAGAAAATCAACGAGGTTAAGCGTGTATCCGACTCGGATCCGTAGATTGTGACCCTACGAGAAACACTCCTACAAGGTTGGACAAACCTTCAAGATAATTGTCAAACTTCAATCCTCGATTACTGTACCTTCCGTGACAAGCTCTCGGTTATAGACGGAATAGTGTTCAAAGGTCAAAGGGTCGTCATACCAAAGGATATGAGGTCGTCATTATTAGACAAAATCCGTACAGGTCATATGGGCATCGACAAATGTCGGAGAGCACGTGATGTTCTTTTCTGGCCCAAAATATCAAAGGACATTTCCTACTTGGTATCGAACTGCTCCATTTGCACGGAGATGCGGACTGACAACCCAAAAGAACCACTCCAACCAAACCCGTACCC